TGTGCAGGTGTGTGTGTAGGTGTGTGGGTGTGTGGGTGGAGGGTGTGCATGTATACTTGCTCCCTTTCTGTTGGGCGACAGGATTTGCCGGCATGGGAGTGGCTTAGGGAAATGGGAAATATAAAGATAGGTGTGTGTAAAGAACTTTGAATTGCAAGTTAAGAATTTGTATTTTGTTTTTCAGGTAATCGGAAGCTAGAGAAATTTCTTCTGAGTCTTAAAAAAGATTTCAGTTCAATTTCTTTTGAATTTTAACATTATAGACGTGGACAGTGAGTTTTGAGGAAGAGGGGGTGTCAGGAAGAGCAGCAGGTGTTTTCAATACTACCTGGATGAGGGCTTGAAGCACAGCAGTGACATTGGAATGGGAAGATATTGGTGCTAAAAAGGTTTATGAAGAGAGAGGCAATGACTCGTAGATCACAAAAGGAGAGAGAGCTCAGAGAGGGAAAACCAACAGAGGGACCTCAAAATTACAATTTTGGAGTTCCAATGGTGATGATAAAATCAACAGAATTAGAGAATTTAAGAAAAGAAGATGTTTTAAGGTGTAAGTTAATTATGTATGCATGGATAGCAATTAAAGCTTGGGAAACAACCACATTTAGTCTTTCATTCAGCCAATTCAATAAGGCCTTCACCAGTAACCAACATAACTTCGTTCTTTACCAACTTAGTTACATTTCGTAGCAGAGCCCCACTCTAACATATTTGCCCCATCATTTTTACACTTTCACACTTGATTTATGCACCTGTGTGTTTTCAGTTCTGGTCTCACATAAAGCAATGAGAAATCACACATGTCATCAGTAACAGATTCAGCCCCTGGGCTTGTGTTTCTTAGAACACCTGGTGCGTCAGTTACCAGAGCTGTCATGGCCAAACTAGCCTCCCTTCCAATGTTCTGCAGAGGGATTTATTTCTGTGTTCTCTGTTTTATTTCTGGAAGTTTATGATGATGCTAAGGAAAAATCAAAACTTCAGTACTGTCCACTTGACTTTAGTAATTTAAAGATAAAAAGTGGAAGTTCTTGAGCAAATTAAATATTCAATTTCATTTGATTAAACAACAAATTCAATTAAAATGTGAATGAATGAAATTTCATGAAATGCAAATAAAATGTCTAGGAGAAAAAGAAGAAATATTGTCATCTTTGCTAGCATATGTAAATTTATAGTTAAATTGTAAATCTAATTATAGTCCGTTTAAATTTTCCTCCAGGATGTTACTGGAGATGCTAGAAACTTTTAAAAAAAGAGGTGGGGTATGAGATTCCTTCTTCATCTTTCTTTTCTAAGTGTATAGTGTAAAAACTAAAATAGAGTAAAAAGCTTTCCATTATAAGAAAAAATAAAAGAAAAACAAGGGGAATCACAGTGCTTTGACTATTCTTGGGAAGATGAGTTGTGATGTGCAGTGTCAACTTGCTGTGCCCAGGGCCTTTGCACAGGCCATGGCCCTATGAGATCTACAGCTGAGATGATACATGTGTAAGATGAGATAACGTACATGAATCCACGACATCCCCCAGCACACAGTGGGCACACCATTTTCTTTACACTTCTTTCGATGTTTCGTAGATGTTGGATATTATTATATGCATAATTATAATCTTCATGTTTTAAGATGTGAGTTTGCAAAGAATTGACCTCAACTAAAATGTGCTCAAGAGACACTAAGGTGCTTTTAATGCAGTACTCATAATACTCATGTCTCATAATTATATAGTACATTTTACCTAATAAAACATAAAAGCAATGTATGATAAATTTTTCCAGTGCCTTGCATAATTAAGCCTTTTCTATGTTTTTAGACTATAAATAGTGATGATTAATATTTGAAATCCACAGTTTTTCAGTGGGATAATTTTATGTTCTCTGAGCAGTCTGTGGTTAACCAAACTAACATAAGGAGAAGATAAGAGACTTGTACAGGTTACCCCTAAGATTTAAATTTTGTTAACTCTGCCAAAAGTGTTGTCTTCAATACTCAAAGGAGATCACAGGTAAGTTGCCATCAAATCTAGGCATGAAGAAAAGGAAGACCTAGACTTCTCTAACAATTAAGCTGAGGGCACACTTTTCTGTCAAAATTTATCAAAATGACTAGAGTTTTTCATCTAATTAATTCATGGAGAAATTTAGA